CCCAGTATCTTTTGGGTAGCACAGAAGACTTCCACATGATAGCACTTAAGGGGGTCAAAACTGGAAAACAGAAAAGCTGACTATGAAGACTCATAAAAGAGCAAGTCTGGGGTTTGATGATAATGGAGTTGAGAGCAGGCAATCATCTTCCTATTCTTTCCTTAATAAATTAAGATCATACTTATTAACCAAGAACAATTAAAAAGAAACTATTAATTTTGATGGAATATCTTTGGTCTATGCTTCTGTGAACAATAACAAATGAGAGAGAAAAATTAAGATCAGGTAAAAAGGATAAAAAAGGATACAGGGAGCTATTTAGGTAGTCTGAAGCATACTGCTTAAAAGACAGAGGAAATCTTTTAATATTTCTTTATAAAGCATTAGCCAGCGAACAGAACAGAAAGAATGAAGTGGACCCTGAGGTGTTTTTTCTTAGGAGCCCAATGTTCCGTTCCACCATTAGAAAATTTCAAGCATGTTACTTCACCTCTGAAAATTATTTTACGTCCCACTCACATGCCAAGTTTTTCTTCTAACTATTTATGAGTCATGCCAGGTGTCTGAAGTGGTAATATCTGGAATTAGCCTATCCGTGAATTTGGACTGAGTACTGTTGGGCTGATGTGCAGGAACAGGTCTCTTAGTCAGAGGTAAGCAACTTTCTCTGAGAAGAACACAGCAGGCTTTGTGGGCATATGGTCTCTGCCTCAACTACTCCTACTCTGCTTCTATAATGCAAAAACTGGTACAGACAGTTGCACTCCAATAAAACTTTATCTGTGGACATAGAATTTACATCCCACATGGTTTTCATGTGTTAGGTTTTTCCCATAATCTGAAACATAAAAACCAATCTTAGTAACTTGTAAAATAAGAGACAGAAGAACTGATTTTTGTTTTGTTCTGAGACAATGTCTCAGGGTCCAGGCCAGCTTCAAGTTCACATGTGGGAAAGAATGACCCTAAACCTCTGACCTTTTAGGTGCTAGAATTACAACCAGTGCTACCACACCCAGTTTGGGGCAGTGCTGGGGACTGAACCCAGGGCTTTGCAAGTTAGGCAAGCTCTCTACCAACATAGCTGGCTGGGAACTTGCTCTGTAACCCATGCTGGCCTGAAACTTTCAGTTGTGCTGGTTAGCTTTGTCAATCTGGCATACATTAGAGCCACATGGGGAGCGGGAACCTCAATTGAGAAAATGCCTCCATCAGACTGAAAGTCTGTGGGACATCTTTTTGATTAATGATTGATGTGAGATGGCCTGGAGAGTACCAAACCTGGGCAGGTGATCCTGCATGATAGAAGAAAACAAATAGAGCAAGCTAGCAGCATTCCTTCGTGGGTTTTGCTTCAGTTCCTGCATCCTGGTTCCTGCCTTGAGTTCCTGCTCCTGACTTCCTTTCATGATGGACTATGACGACCTGTGAAGTAAACTCTTTCCTTCCTATGCTGTTACGGTCATGATGTTTATCATAGAAACAGAAAGCAAACCAAGACATCATCTGCACAAGTGATTTCACAAAGGCGCAAGAGAAATTCAATGCAAGAACAATAAGCTTTCAATTACAGGTGTTCCAGTGATTGTTTATCTAGAGAATGCTCCCTTTCAGGAAAAAAAACACGTCATAAAAAAACTGTATGGCGGGCTGAGAGATGGCTCAGAGGTTAAGAGCACTGCCTGCTCTTCCAAAGGTCCTGAGTTCAATTCCCAGCAACCACATGGTGGCTCACAACCATCTGTGATGAGATCTGATGCCCTCTTCTGACCTGCAGGCATACACGCAGGCAGAATGCTGTGTACTTAATAAATAAATAAATAAATATTTAAAAAAAAAAAACTGTATGGCAACCTGATAAAAAAAAATAACCAAAAAAAAAGAAAGAAAAGAAACAAACAACCCCTAAATATATACTTAACCATATGACCTAATAAGAACATTCCTCAAAGAAATAAAAATTTGCTTCTGAATGGGGAAAAAAAAAAACTCTGAAAGGGAACCTCTATTTCTAGTAGTGCCAAACTAGACACCAATGCCCTTAAATCCAAGAAATCATTGTATACCCTTGCTGAGAATACTATCCAGGGCGGAAAAAGTGAGAGCCATTGACACATGGATGATCTCATGCTGAGTTTACAGGCTGGCTTCAAAAGACCCCAAGTACATCATATTCTCTATTGACAACATTACAAAGATAGAGAACAGACTAGTGATTCTTACTGGTCAGAAACAGTAGAGAAGGTAAGGAGACATTGCCTAATGCTGCAAAAGGAACGTTCATGAGAGCTCTTTCTGGAGAGTTTTGTGCCTTGTTTACGGTGGTGGTTACACTAATCTACATATGATAAAATGATACATTGTGCCAATGTCAATTTCCTGGTGTTAGTATTATACAATAGTTATGTAAGACACAACCACTGAAGTAAACTGGAAAAGGAAATAGACTTCTCTAATGGTAATTTTTGCAATTTATAATTATTTCAAAGTAACTAGACAATTCCTAAAAAATCTTAGCATACACAAAAGGATGAGATTACTCTGTAAACAACAATCTACTTTATTAGAGCTGTTTACAGGACCAAGTAGTAAAAATAAAAGCCAGCTTTAACTGCCTACTATGAGCCAAGCCCTATTTTAAGTGCTTTCCATACACTGCCCCCTCTTCATCCCTGTAACAACTGTATGAATGGAGTACCCAACCCCATTTTACAAACAGGAACACTGGGGTTAAAGAGAAGATTAATTCGATCCTAATCACACAGTAAATACTAGAACCAAAATTTAGTTCCAAAGTCATCCCTTCTGAACCTGAGGGTACCAAAACTAAACATACTGATATTTACAAGTATTGGTCCAGAGGCTTGTAATAAACAATGTTAAGCCAGTTTCTTTTCAGCATGAGCTTCAGAGCTCTTAAAATGCCAGGGCATTTCAGATATCGAGACCACTACAGTGCAGGTTTCCTCCAGTACATCTGACCAGAGGGTCCTACTTCCTCCAGAATATATAGAGTTTGGGTATGCAATTCAATTATATCTAAACCAAAATGAATAATATTCAAATGGCCTGATTTTAACCCATTTCTTTTCTTCATGAATTGGCAAAAAGCTGTGCAGTCCAACATAGTAGCCATGTACACAAGTTATAAATTAGAATAAAATTTCAGTTTTTCAGTCACACAGCTACATCACAAATCTGCTGAAGTGCCACATATGGCTACCATATTGGACATCACAGATATAGAACAGTTACATCATCTGAGGAAAGTCTACCCAGCAGTATTAAGAGACTTGTTTTGTCTGATTGTAAAAGAACACAGGGCCTGTACAGTCTTCAGAGAGGCACACTGTGAATTACTACACATGTCAGCATCACCTTCCCCCATAAAGAGAGACTGATACTTTCTAGTCAGCCTGACTGCCACCAGAACGAGAATCTCAAAGCACAAGGAAAAGGTAAGCAAAGAGGTAGAGAAAAGGAAGCAAGGAAAAGCAAAGCTGGCCAGACCAGAAATGAAGCTTGAACTAACATTTAGGAGCCTGGATTCTATGATTTTTTTTTTAATTTAAATTTCATCTTTAGTAATGAGACCATGTAGGTGAAGTCTCTTCTTTATTTTGGGCCCTGGTGTTCTCTCCTGCAACACAAATTTAAAAGAAATGATTATTCAAAATTCCCTGTAGCTGTGTCTGGACACACGCCATGGGGGGGGGGGGGATGAGGGCAAAAAAATAAGCTACTCTAATATGCAAAATAGTTGTAGATTGGAAACTGGCACACGGGTCAGCCTGCCACAGCTCTACTTCCTGAGAATATCTGGACACCACCGAAGGAAAAAGATGCAGTTCTGTCCAATGAAAACTTATTATTTACACCTAAACGCACACACATACACACACACACACATACACACACACACACATACACACACACACACACACACACAAACCGGTTAGCACTAAGACCAAATATATGGGAAAAAAATGCAAGATACTCAAAACTTCAGGTTTAAAGACTAGTTCACTAACATGTAGTAACTGAAGGGGTCCCAGTACTCAAACACATATTAGGGTGCTAGTATTACTAAGATTACGAATATTACAAGTTATAAATATCATATACAAAGTATAAATCCGACATGACCAAAAGTACACTTCATTTCTTCCACGAAGAATATAAACAGATGCTACAAGCATCTGGCACTAGTAGACACAAATTTTGGCTAACCTATTTTCTCTCAAAACCACACTTAGTCCTGTGTCTTCTGTGTGAAATACCTTTAAGGACTGCTGAAATTGCAGAGATTCTCAAACAGTGCTCGGGCAGAATGAAACAGAACTAGAATCTGCATCTACATCCTACTGCACGCTTCCTTCTCTGCAGAGAAATGGTGGGTCTACTTCCTAAGATTCAGAGGGAGATAGAAACCTGCCTCGGACCAATCCTATGCCATACTAAGAACTAAAAAGGCTAATATTAATTTTTTTAGCTATTTTTACCTAGTCCAGCTGAAAAAGAAATACCATAAGTGATTTTTTTTTAACCTCGCTGAAGCTAAGAGTTGTGTAACCTCTTTGAGAATTCAAACTCAGAGCCCAGAATCAAACCTGTGAATATTTTGGTGCCGGGCATGAGAAAAACTAAAGATTTCAAAGAACGAAAACAAGAAGGGACTATCAGTGACAAGCGTTTACTTCAGTAAGGCTGGTTTTAGTACCCCACCTACTAATCCGATGCCAAGCACCGCGCGGCGCGGAAACCCTGCCGAATTTGAAAATAAACGTTGCAAAGGATCCGGGGGACTGCAAACGGGGATGGAAACTGACAGCTTGGCCTCACAGAGAAGCCTCAAGTAGGTCAAACTGTGGCAACCGTCTGCAATCCGGAGTCCACTCCAGTGGGCTCAGGGGAGTAGAGCGGCGTCGTTCAGTCCTAAAGGGGCGGGATACGGGCACCAAGATCTAGAGCCCGAGCCCAGGCGCTTCGCCTGCTCTCACCTCTCTTGGGGGCCTTGATCAGAGGCACCCCTCCGCTCCTCTCGCCGTTTTCCTGCTTGTCCTTGTGCTTGAGATCGCCCGGAACGCAGGCGCCAGGGTCACCATCGGAGCTGCGGTGGTGATGGTGCTTGTGCCGCTCCTTGTGGCCCTTATGCTTGGGCCCGGCCGCGCTCACCGTCAGGGGCGAGAAGGTGAAGAGGGCCGAGGTGCCCGGGGCCGGCAGCGGGGCAGCGACAGCGGGCCCGGCGGGCGCCAGCGACGGTGGCGGCGGAGGCGGCAGGAGCAGAGGTTCAACAGGGCCCGGGACGGTTGGGGCGGCATTCGTTGGAGGCAGCGGCCCGGGATGTTGGCGGCTGCGACGCCGCCGATGAGGGGGAGTGAGAGGGGGGTCCTGGCTCGGCCGCCCCCGCTTCTCCTGAGAACCCCCGCTGCTCGCCCGGCGTTGCCGCTTCACTCCCCGCGGGGAGACCCCAACATGGGGTTTCTCCTTCCCTTCTTTGTCCAGCTCCTCCTGCGCCGCCACCGCCCGTACTACGCGAACCGCTCCGACCTGCGCAGCCATTTCACCCACAAACACACATTTAAATGTCCCGACCGCCCCCCCGTCCCCGATTCGCGCAAGCGTCGCCCGCGCAGGGCCCGCTGGGCATTGGAGTCTCTCCTCCGCCCTCCACCGCTCCGTCCTTCTCGTAGAGCTGAACATGCCGGAAACGACAGTTCCGGCACCTCTCCGCAGACCTCGCCAACCGAGCTTCTATTGTAAAGCGCCCTGGACGCGCAAGGCCTGGCGGGAGTTGTAGTTCCACCGCCCGCCGTGTGCCCGGCTCTCTGAGTGGAGGAGCAGAGAAGGAGCGTGCGCCCAGGCACGCTTCGGGGTGCGACGCAACTGCCGCCGGCAGGCGAGTTACCGCCAACCGCCCTAACGGCCCAAACAATGTTAATAGCTTTCAGGGTCTGGCGGTGTGTTCAGGCGGTCCTCTTGCAGTGTTCCTTCTTCTTCTTGCCCGGAGTAGGTGGTCTCCATAGTGACGTTTCAATTTCGTATTTCTCTTCTAGCCTTTGTGAGGTAAAAGAATCTCCAGCTTTTACCCTTGACAAACGACGAGAAAAAGAATTTCGGAACGTGTAAAATGACGATCTTGTTGTAAAGTGTAGCGGGTTTGCTATTCAGGGGGAAAAAATAGGAGCGTTTTCAGTGGCATTGCTGTGGTTACAGCTGCAAGCTTAAGGCAGGTGCTATGAGTGCCCTGAGCGCAGCCCCCACCTTGCCAGAGTCAGATTTTCCTATGTGCTTGGAAAGGAAGAATCCAGCATTTATGTTGAATATACAACTATACTTAACGAAAAGTTCTCGATAGAAATCGTTTAATTTTTTTCAAGCCATAAGTACAAATTTGCAAATGTGGAAAAGCTTTGTCAAGCTGACAACACTTAAAACAATCGTCCCTGTTCGTCAGGAAATAGTGTTTCCTCAGAAATTTGATTTAATAATTGGCTACCATGATATACTAAGCATGTAAGAAGCACTTTGGTTTAACACTAGTTCCCAGAGAAGTAACTTAGGCAGAGTGAACTTCTGCAATAACAGTTATAGCTTAAAATAGCGTTCTTAAACACCTACTGGGTATGCGTTGTACTACAATGAGCAAACAATACCTTTCAGTTAGTCCTAGCATTCAGTTTCCTAACGAAAAATATTAAGGCAAAAATAACACTATTGCTAGGTTGTATTTTCTTAAGTAAAAATATCCAATTAAATAGGAAAGTAAAGGGAATCTTTTAAAACAATATCCATTAACTTATTTACTGTGTAAATGTAGATTTTAAATTTACTTGGGAGAATCCATAGTCCTACAGAAATACATTTTCAAACTACCAGTACCTTTAAATAATTATGAACATAAACTGTACAGGTTTATATGGGGCCTTTTCTATGAAGAAAACACTATCAAAAAAGAATTCAAAGTAATTTTAAAGTTTAAAGTGCTAGCAAAAAGTAACCGCTATTGATTATTTTTGTAGAATTGGAAAAAACTTAATGTGGAATATAGTTGTACACCTTTACAGCAATATAAAAATGATCACTGCCATTATTTGTACATCATTTTCTTTAATATTTCTTTTCCACATTTGGGAAGGTGGGGGAGGTATACTCCATTTAGACAAAAATAATACCCTGGGAACAGTCATTGCCACAGCAGTAATTTTGTGCTGCAAACACAAGGCAAGGGTGTTTTGTTTTGTTTTTCTTTTGTTTTGTTTTCTTTTGTTTTTTTTTTTTTTAATAAAACCTGTAGGCAGTCATGATGGAGCACACCTGTAATGTCAGCATTCTTCAGGTTGAAGTAGGAGAACCATTAGTTTGAAGCCAGCCTGGGGCTGCATAGCAAGACCTTGTCTATTAAAAAAGAAGAAGTTTGCTATTAAGGCAATGTAGAAGGGTTGGAGAGATGGCTCAGTCGGTTATGAGCACTTACAACTCTGCAAAGGACCCTGGTTCAGTTCTCAGAACCCACTAAGCAAGTACCACCTGTAATTCCAGTTCAAGGGGATCTACCTCCCTCTCCTGGCCTCGGTGTGCACTACATATAGGTGGTATATATCCATACATGCAGGCAAAAACACTTGTAACTTGTACACATAAAGATATTTTATAAAGAGAACTTTACTATCAAATTCTTACAGGCCTATATTAAAATGAATGCTTGTGCAGGGCTTGATGTATGCCTTTAATCATCTTAGCCCTCCAGAGGCTATGACAGGAAGATTACCTTAAAGAGTCAAATTAACATAAAAAGATATCATCTCAAAACAAAAATTTACACATCCGGAGAAAGTAGAACAGAGGAACTGGAGAGATTTTCAGCAGTTAAGACCATTGGCTGCTCTTCGGAGGATCCAGGTTCAACTCCAAGAACCCACATGGCAGGCAGCTCATAACTACCTGTAACTCTAGTTTCAGGAGATCTGACGTCTTCACACAGATATACATGCAGGCAAAACACAAATGCATATGAAATAAAAATAAATTATAAAATAAAATAACTTCCAAAAGCGAAAAATAAATCCAGCTTGAAACATGATAAACTTTATTGACAGTTCCCAATTAGATGTCAAAAATATGAAAACACAAGGTTGTTGGAAGTTTTTTACATATAGCTTCCCTTTTGAAAGCTATTAACACACTATATCTTCATTATTGATATTATTAATAATAATATTATTATAGCAGTATTCTAGTAGTTTTATTTGTAGGAACATATGCAGCCAATATTCTTATAAATTCAGTGGTGTATTAAATATTCCAAGTTGATGGTGGGTTCCTTGGTCCTTTGGGTTTTGAAAAACGATTTCCAAAACCTGGAGACAAAAAAAAAAATTGAATGAAAATAAGTACTTTTATGTGGAAATGTGGAAATGAATACTTGGATTTTAGAATACATCACTGAAAAAGTTAAACACCCTCTTTGATCAATTTAATAATAGACTGGAAAGGCACTAGAGTAATTAAAATTTAAATTAAATAGAATATTCTTTTTGCTATACTAGAGATCAAACTAATGGCCTTGTCATATGCGAAGGCAATTACTCTGCCACTGGGCCACACCTCCAACCCAAATACTACTATTTAAATTTAGACATTTACAGTTAACTAATGGTAATAATTGTATGAAGAACCATGATTGTAGTAGCCTTCAATAACTGGATGCATAGCACTGTTTATCTGTTTTAGTCACCCACCATGGATGACAAATTTCACTTTTATAAAATTCAGCACTTATTTGTGTGCTGTTATCAAATCAAGTTCTATATCTATGCAGCCACAGAAATTTCTGAGTCTACTAAAATATGTCTCCAAAACTTGGAAAATATAAAACAATCCTGAAAGAAATAGTTGTTAAATAAGTTTTAATTACTTCCTGAAATGCACTTCCCTTGCCTCCAAAAAAAGAATAAGAAAAAGTTTCACATAAAATAAGGCTATTAGTAGGTGTTTTCAGAAAGAAATTCAGACTGGTGACATTTATTTGTCTTTTCCTTTCATTGTGGTAGATTTTCAAAGCATCTGACACTTAGCAGCTTTGGTGCCTTAAATTGAAAAATAGAAGGGTTTGAAACTTAAAGTGAGAGCAGAAAGTGAAACATTAACATATTCAGAATATTTAATGTCATCACCTTTCCTAGTAACTTTTTACATATGTGACTAAATTTAAGTCTAAAAACAAAACTAGAGTAGGCTAGATATGGTGGCAACTGCCTGTAATCCAAACACATAGGAGGTTAAGATAGGAGGATCGCAAGTTCAAGGTCAACCTGAAATACGTAGCAAGACACACACACACACACACACACACACACACACACACACACTGTATGCCAGAGTTGAAAGAAACCTGAAAGAAGATGTTTATTAACTAGTGATTTTAAATGTTGGAAGAGGTGTATAGAGCCGATTTCATATACATGTTACTCCACTGAAGATAAAAGAGAAGGAAAAATATTCAGGCTAAATAGTTCACACATCAGAACCATCTCCTCTTAGCACAAGCACCTTAACTATAGCCCAGTATACAGTAAAGAGGGGTGAGAACATGAAATGTGACTACTTAGAACAACTAAAATTTCAAACGCCTATATTTGACCTGATTTGCTATCCAATTCTTAACACTTTAGAACAGATTTACCCTGCTGTTTTCTCTATATGGGTCAATTCAGGAAAAGTTAACATGAACCACATGCTTTTTTTTTTTTTATTTCAACTTAGGGGAAAAACTGAGATAGAAATGCAAGCCCAGGCTGGCCCTGAAGTCATGATCCTTCTGCCTCAACTTACCATTTGCTGCAATTACAGGTGTGCATCATCAGAGCAACGGAAATATTTTAATAACATGATCTTACAGTTTATATTGCCATTATTAAAGGGAAAATGAGATATAAGTGTTGCTTTCCAGCACACAGACTGTTGAAATCTAGGCATGTTTGAGAAGAAGCAGCACGGATGCAGGTAGGGTTTTATACCAGCGCCACAGCAATGGAAAGTCAGATGGTCTATACATCACTCAAGGGATTCGGGGAAAAGGAGAAAGCAGAAAACTTTTGTGATCAAGACAGAGTTGCATTTTTTTCATAGTTCATACAATGTTCCATATGAATATTTTTAACTAATTTTATACAAACCTTCACTTTTAAATTGTAACAATTGAAATATTGAGTTAAAGAAATGCAGCCCAAATTTTATAGTTTTAACTCTAGAGCATAACTATAGAGTCATAGAGTTTCTAGTAAGTATTTTCTCAAATTAGACAAGGACTATAATGACAGAGATTGCTCCCTCATTTTCTGCTTCTTCCTCTGAAATAAAATTATATTGGGGCAATTGTATATCTACCTAGCAGTATTACATTTTCTGATCTTCCTACAATCTTTAGAATTAATTTATTTTGCATGTATTGGTGGTTTGCTTTCATGTATGTCTGTGCACCATGTTTGCAGTGCCTTCAGAGACCAACAGAGGGCATCACCAGCTCCTCTGGAACTGGAGTTAAAGACAGTTGTGAACCACCTTAGAATTAACTGAACCTGGGTCCTCTGAAAGAGTATCCAGTACTCTTAATTCACTGAGCCATCTCTCCAACACCAATTTATATACATTTTAAACTATGCTATAAAATAATACACATACCAAATTTCAGAAAGGAGCTGGAATTT